TTCTTCTGCATATGCAATATATACATTATCATGGAAACACATAGCATGACGCTCTTTTCGGAGATTTTTGCCAGATTTTCTACAAAATTTGTGGCGATGACGCACCAAAGCTTTCAAGATTATAGAGCTAGGAAATGAGTTACCCTGTTGGTTACTACGTTTTGAAGCGAAGATCTTTTCTTATCGCTCGCGTACGTGAAGGCGGCTGTATTGGATGTAGTAGGCATTACGGGCACTTTTATATCCCCTTTATCACTTTATACGTTTTCAGAAGTTCTCATATCCAACGATAGAAGAGGCTTTCAATGTTGACTGGTCGAAAAAACAATACGTGCGGAAAAGTCGAAGACTCATACCATGCAGCTATTTTCCGCTCAAAGGTAAGATTTGTCGCGATATCCTACTAGCTTTTGCTCGTAACTTCTGTAAGTCGTGGCAAATTTAGCTATGCTGCGCGCTCAAAAGGATGAAAAGCTTGGAGACGACGAGGAGGCTAATGTGAAAGTGCTTGCAGAACTCTGGACAGAAGAGGTAGTAAATTTGTGTTGAATCTTTGTTAGCCGATTTCTTAGTTGTAAGTTATTTTAGGTGTTAAAGGCCAACCACGAATTAGAGAATCAAACTGTGCAGGCTGACACTTTCGACTAGTTAGTTTCATTTGCTTTGCTCATTTTTCTTGAATTAGAGGTCATTCCATTGTAGAATTACTGAAGTTTGCGCTGATATATACTATTTTAGCTTCTTCGGACCTCAGTTATCGCCGGTGTGTGCAATCGTAGGAGGATTGGCTGGCCAAGAAGCAATCAAGGTAAATCTCATTTATCTTGCATTACTACTGTAATGCTCGCATGATTATTTTTTCAGGCCATGTCAGAGAATGAACGACCCCTCCAGAACATCTTCATCTACTCGGCTCTTGATTCTTCTGGTACTATGTGTAATTTCCCACCTCCTTGAGCAGAACTTTCCAGAAGCTCCGTTGTTTTCTTTCTTTTTTTTTTGTTCTGGGATCTCCTCATTTTCTCCTCACAAGTTGTCACTGCTTATCATGGTTTTCAGTGTTTTTATCTTTATTACTGAACAAAGATACCGGTTATTTTTTCCATCAACACCATGATTGGTCGTGCTTACATTTTGCTCTCCTCCATAACCTTAGCAGATGGTCCTCTTTGGTGAGTGGCTGCAAAATGATATACCGTTACTCAAGTTCTACAGC